TTTCCTTTCCTTTCCTTTCCTTTCCGTGGGAGGTGTTGCTAGTACCTTTCCTTTCCTTTCCTTTCCTTTCCTTTCCTTTCCTTTCCTATGTACCAGCGTCTTAACCCTTTCCTTTCCTTTCCTTTCCTTTCCTTTCCTTTCCTTTCCGCCAACCCTTCCCTCCTGTCCTTTCCTTTCCTTTCCTTTCCTTTCCTTTCCTTTCCTTTCCGCATGAGGTTTGGGCTTTGCCTTTCCTTTCCTTTCCTTTCCTTTCCTTTCCTTTCCTTTCCTGGGGGGAGTGAAGCCAGGACTTTCCTTTCCTTTCCTTTCCTTTCCTTTCCTTTCCTTTCCAGTATTCTGGGCAGCATTGTCTTTCCTTTCCTTTCCTTTCCTTTCCTTTCCTTTCCTTTCCGTTCCTGTCTTCTGAGCCTGCTTTCCTTTCCTTTCCTTTCCTTTCCTTTCCTTTCCTTTCCCTCTCTTCTGCTTGAGATAGACTCAGGGGCTGTTTGCTGCAAAGAATCCTGATGAGCACGGGGACTTTGAATAGGGAGTGACTGAAGGCAGGCAGGCAGCTGGGGAGCCTTGGCAGTCACATGGGGGAGTGGTGACAAAGGCCCTTAGGAAGGGAGAAGCAGGAGAGGGACAAAGTACTGAGGGAGGAAGGGTTGACAGGTGTCTTTCCTTTCCTTTCCTTTCCTTTCCTTTCCTTTCCTTTCCTGGTGACATGCATAGGTTACCTTTCCTTTCCTTTCCTTTCCTTTCCTTTCCTTTCCTTTCCGCCAAAGATGTCCCTCAAATCTTTCCTTTCCTTTCCTTTCCTTTCCTTTCCTTTCCTTTCCTCAGCAGGAAGGGCCAAAGTCTTTCCTTTCCTTTCCTTTCCTTTCCTTTCCTTTCCTTTCCAGGGAGATTTCAGATGCTCCCTTTCCTTTCCTTTCCTTTCCTTTCCTTTCCTTTCCTTTCCCTTGGCACTCATACTCTTGAAATTAGGACTCTCATTCATTTTTATCAAGATCTTGAAAGTGGTAATAAAGTTACACCGATGCTTTCCTTTCCTTTCCTTTCCTTTCCTTTCCTTTCCTTTCCCAATAAAAGGTGGAGGGACCCTTTCCTTTCCTTTCCTTTCCTTTCCTTTCCTTTCCTTTCCTTATCACCTGCGCAGCCTGGCTTTCCTTTCCTTTCCTTTCCTTTCCTTTCCTTTCCTTTCCTTTATTTCCTATATTGAATGCTTTCCTTTCCTTTCCTTTCCTTTCCTTTCCTTTCCTTTCCAGCTTGTGATTTCAAGATGACTTTCCTTTCCTTTCCTTTCCTTTCCTTTCCTTTCCTTTCCTTTTCACACACACACAAAGACTTTCCTTTCCTTTCCTTTCCTTTCCTTTCCTTTCCTTTCCTTGCCTTCCCGAAGCCACCACTTTCCTTTCCTTTCCTTTCCTTTCCTTTCCTTTCCTTTCCGCACTCAGCAGGGACCACTTCTTTCCTTTCCTTTCCTTTCCTTTCCTTTCCTTTCCTTTCCCTGCCGCCTCTTTTCTGCAGCTTTCCTTTCCTTTCCTTTCCTTTCCTTTCCTTTCCTTTCCTGGGGGGGCAATGGAGAGGGCTTTCCTTTCCTTTCCTTTCCTTTCCTTTCCTTTCCTTTCCCCTGCTGACATTGCAGAGGCCTTTCCTTTCCTTTCCTTTCCTTTCCTTTCCTTTCCTTTCCTCCTGGGCTTTCCCCTTTCCCTTTCCTTTCCTTTCCTTTCCTTTCCTTTCCTTTCCTTTCCTGGGAACGAGCCACTCCACCCTTTCCTTTCCTTTCCTTTCCTTTCCTTTCCTTTCCTTTCCGTTCAGTCGTTTGGTGCTGGCTTTCCTTTCCTTTCCTTTCCTTTCCTTTCCTTTCCTTTCCATCACAAAAACCCCAAATGACTTTCCTTTCCTTTCCTTTCCTTTCCTTTCCTTTCCTTTCCCATGGGGCAGGTGCAGAATCCTTTCCTTTCCTTTCCTTTCCTTTCCTTTCCTTTCCTTTCCGCTCCAGCCCCAGATGTGGGCTTTCCTTTCCTTTCCTTTCCTTTCCTTTCCTTTCCTTTCCCACGGATCACGGGACAAAACCTTTCCTTTCCTTTCCTTTCCTTTCCTTTCCTTTCCTTTCCTCCTCCTCTGCCCCTGGACCCTTTCCTTTCCTTTCCTTTCCTTTCCTTTCCTTTCCTTTCCCTTGGAGTGGCACCAAGGGTGACAGCTTGGTACCCAAGGGCAGAGGCCATGTCTAGGCCACCTCCAGTGTGGTCCCACGGGGCCTTCCTGCAGACCAGTGTCCTCAGTATGTGGCTGAAGATGGATGAGGCCCATGTCACGACTTTCCTTTCCTTTCCTTTCCTTTCCTTTCCTTTCCTTTCCTTGTGTCAGTCCGGCTGGTGCTTTCCTTTCCTTTCCTTTCCTTTCCTTTCCTTTCCTTTCCAGTGTCCATGGGGCTGCAAGCTTTCCTTTCCTTTCCTTTCCTTTCCTTTCCTTTCCTTTCCCGTGGCAGGACAGTGTCTCAGGGACAAAAGGAGCCACAGGAGCTCCAACGAGGAGCCTTCCCGGGACCAAGTTTCTTGTGGGCGTCTGGCTGGGGCAGGGCACTTTGGGAGAGTTACGATGCTCCAGCTGCTGGGCTGGCTGAGCACAAACACCTCCCCTTGTAGGTCACAATGCTGGCAGACTGTTTCAGCCAAAGGCCCGTGACCTCGAAGGTGACATCGCTTAAGGCCTGAGCGTGCTGCCTGGTGCTCTCCCTCGCTGATTTACACACTCCTGCTCCAACTCTCTAAAATCAATCTTTCTCCAATTGCCTCCTGGCTCCCAACAGCGTCCAGATCTGCCCTGCATGAGTAACTATGCAATCTTCTCCCACTCCCAGGGCTGCTTCTCCGGGAGCCCCAGCTTCTGATGAGGAAGGGTGGGGGTGGGGCCCGGCCCTGCCAGAGCCTCTGATGGGGTGGGGTGAGTGGTGGCAGGCAGCCCTCTGTGCCAGGCTCCCATAACACCGGCAGGGCAGGCCCTCGGTCCAGATGGGCCTGGGGGCACGAGAGTCAAGGACGGGGCCTCTCTATTATTGCTCACATACCAGGGAGCTCCACTGAGTTGGTAGGTGCCCTCCCTTTTATTTTGTGGATGTTTAGGATAATTTAGGATAATTACTTATTTTTCATATTAATAAACACTCTGAACTGGCAGTTGGCTTAATTTTGACATATTTTATGTCAAAAGAAATGGTGGAGGGCCTCTAATCAGCTCAGGGGCAGGTTTTCCTTCCGCAAAGGAACATGAAAAGCTCATTCTGCTCACCCTTCGTTATTTTCACAAAGTGTCTCTTTTTTAGGGAATTGAGTTTCTTTAGCTGAAAGAGAGCAACTTTCCTTTCCTTTCCTTTCCTTTCCTTTCCTTTCCTTTCCCAGGTGGTATAGAGCCTTGTCTTTCCTTTCCTTTCCTTTCCTTTCCTTTCCTTTCCTTTCCACCCTCTCTGGGGGAGTCCTCTTTCCTTTCCTTTCCTTTCCTTTCCTTTCCTTTCCTTTCCTGGGAAGGGGGAGCAAGGATCTTTCCTTTCCTTTCCTTTCCTTTCCTTTCCTTTCCTTTCCGTCAGGGAAGGGCAAAGGGCCTTTCCTTTCCTTTCCTTTCCTTTCCTTTCCTTTCCTTTCCTTGGCTGTGCCACTGGCTAACTTTCCTTTCCTTTCCTTTCCTTTCCTTTCCTTTCCTTTCCATGAGGTGGTACCACTAGGTCTTTCCTTTCCTTTCCTTTCCTTTCCTTTCCTTTCCTTTCCCAAAGTGGCCATGCTGTGTCCTTTCCTTTCCTTTCCTTTCCTTTCCTTTCCTTTCCTTTCCTAAGGGGTTGGCTCTCTTCCCTTTCCTTTCCTTTCCTTTCCTTTCCTTTCCTTTCCTTTCCCACCTCTGGTGTTCCCCAGCCTTTCCTTTCCTTTCCTTTCCTTTCCTTTCCTTTCCTTTCCAAGAGGTATCCCCAAACCCACTTTCCTTTCCTTTCCTTTCCTTTCCTTTCCTTTCCTTTCCGGGACTGGGGTCAGGATCCCCTTTCCTTTCCTTTCCTTTCCTTTCCTTTCCTTTCCTTTCCTGCACACGTTCATGTGGCCCCTTTCCTTTCCTTTCCTTTCCTTTCCTTTCCTTTCCTTTCCTCCTTTACAGAGCCAGCATGCTTTCCTTTCCTTTCCTTTCCTTTCCTTTCCTTTCCTTTCCTGTGAGCCCAGGCGGGTTACCTTTCCTTTCCTTTCCTTTCCTTTCCTTTCCTTTCCTTTCCTTAAGGGCAGAGCCTACCGCCTTTCCTTTCCTTTCCTTTCCTTTCCTTTCCTTTCCTTTCCGGACAGGGTCACAGTAAGTGCTTTCCTTTCCTTTCCTTTCCTTTCCTTTCCTTTCCTTTCCCTAAAACACCTGCAGCTTAGCTTTCCTTTCCTTTCCTTTCCTTTCCTTTCCTTTCCTTTCCATACCCCTTCCTCCAACTCTCTTTCCTTTCCTTTCCTTTCCTTTCCTTTCCTTTCCTTTCCAAGGGGATACCTTCTGGTAGCTTTCCTTTCCTTTCCTTTCCTTTCCTTTCCTTTCCTTTCCCCCAGCCCTCCTCACTGGCCCTTTCCTTTCCTTTCCTTTCCTTTCCTTTCCTTTCCTTTCCGCTTGGAAAGGTCCTACCAGCTTTCCTTTCCTTTCCTTTCCTTTCCTTTCCTTTCCTTTCCGACCCTTGCTTACCTCTGAGCTTTCCTTTCCTTTCCTTTCCTTTCCTTTCCTTTCCTTTCCACTTTTTGGTTACTCCAACACTTTCCTTTCCTTTCCTTTCCTTTCCTTTCCTTTCCTTTCCGGGGTCACCTCTGCCCCGCCCTTTCCTTTCCTTTCCTTTCCTTTCCTTTCCTTTCCTTTCCCCCAGGGGTGGGGTGGGGCTCTTTCCTTTCCTTTCCTTTCCTTTCCTTTCCTTTCCTTTCCGAAAGGCCTCTGCCCCCCCCCTTTCCTTTCCTTTCCTTTCCTTTCCTTTCCTTTCCTTTCCCACACCCCCCCCGCGCCCCGCTCGGCTCCTTCAGGTCTCGCGGCGCTGGACGCCGGAGGGGGCGGGGCAAGAGCGTCAGCCCCGCCCCGGCCCCGCAGTGGGACTCGGCCCGGCTCAGCGTGTGCCTCACTTCACGTGACACTGCTGCTGGGTGAACATGGCGGCGGCCACCGGGTGAGTGCTGCTCCCGTTCCTGGCTATTGGCCGGCGGCGCGGAGAGGGGGCCTGGGCCTCCAGGCTGATAGTCCCCGCCGCCGGGCCGCTCTTTCCTTTCCTTTCCTTTCCTTTCCTTTCCTTTCCTTTCCGTCGTGCGGGGCGGGCGTCGCTTTCCTTTCCTTTCCTTTCCTTTCCTTTCCTTTCCTTTCCCTGAGCTCCCCTCCCCGCTGCTTTCCTTTCCTTTCCTTTCCTTTCCTTTCCTTTCCTTTCCCGCGCGCGTGGCGGCTCCGCCTTTCCTTTCCTTTCCTTTCCTTTCCTTTCCTTTCCTTTCCCGGCCACGCCCCTCGGTTGGCTTTCCTTTCCTTTCCTTTCCTTTCCTTTCCTTTCCTTTCCAGGAGGTGGTGTCTGAGAAGCTTTCCTTTCCTTTCCTTTCCTTTCCTTTCCTTTCCTTTCCCTCAGGACCCAAACATCACCCTTTCCTTTCCTTTCCTTTCCTTTCCTTTCCTTTCCTTTCCTCCTTTACACCTTCTGATAACTTTCCTTTCCTTTCCTTTCCTTTCCTTTCCTTTCCTTTCCTTTGGAATGTAAGGTCAGGGCTTTCCTTTCCTTTCCTTTCCTTTCCTTTCCTTTCCTTTCCTGCACACAGTAGGTACTTCCCTTTCCTTTCCTTTCCTTTCCTTTCCTTTCCTTTCCTTTCCGCAGGAAGTGTGGACAGATGCTTTCCTTTCCTTTCCTTTCCTTTCCTTTCCTTTCCTTTCCCATCTGAGCAAAGGGTGAGTCTTTCCTTTCCTTTCCTTTCCTTTCCTTTCCTTTCCTTTCCGGTGGGGTGCATCCTTGTGCCTTTCCTTTCCTTTCCTTTCCTTTCCTTTCCTTTCCTTTCCATGAGCGACTGGAGCCATCTCTTTCCTTTCCTTTCCTTTCCTTTCCTTTCCTTTCCTTTCCTGTGTGTGAGTTCAAGGGGACTTTCCTTTCCTTTCCTTTCCTTTCCTTTCCTTTCCTTTCCGGGCTAGGAGGGGAAGTGGTCTTTCCTTTCCTTTCCTTTCCTTTCCTTTCCTTTCCTTTCCATCAGAATGGTGGAACCAGTCTTTCCTTTCCTTTCCTTTCCTTTCCTTTCCTTTCCTTTCCATGGCTGCTCAAGTGGCCCCCTTTCCTTTCCTTTCCTTTCCTTTCCTTTCCTTTCCTTTCCCACCTGCTGTATTCTAGGGACTTTCCTTTCCTTTCCTTTCCTTTCCTTTCCTTTCCTTTCCCAGATGGACACATGGTACTCCTTTCCTTTCCTTTCCTTTCCTTTCCTTTCCTTTCCTTTCCGAGGGGCATGGGTTCTAAGCCTTTCCTTTCCTTTCCTTTCCTTTCCTTTCCTTTCCTTTCCGTGTGCCAGTCCTTGGGTGCCTTTCCTTTCCTTTCCTTTCCTTTCCTTTCCTTTCCTTTCCGTTAAGGAACCTGGGGTCAGCTTTCCTTTCCTTTCCTTTCCTTTCCTTTCCTTTCCTTTCCTGAGCAGTAGCTGTAGGCCACTTTCCTTTCCTTTCCTTTCCTTTCCTTTCCTTTCCTTTCCCAGGTGGTCATAGGGAATTCCTTTCCTTTCCTTTCCTTTCCTTTCCTTTCCTTTCCTTTCCGCTCTCCTGAAGGCACAGAGGAGCCAGGCTCCTTGTTTGGATGGGGGTGAGCCTGGAACTGGCCAAATCCTGGAAGGAGGGCTCTTCTAGCAAAACTGATCCTCTGGGCCATGGGGGGAGGCAAGGAGGGGGAAACACAGAATGACAGAATTCTTGGAGAGGTGCACTATTGGAAGTGCAGGTAGCTTCCAGAGCTTGACAGGGCCTCCTTGGCAAGAGCCATCCCAACTAGTATGGGGCTGCCCTGCTGGACACTTTGAATCTCTTTCCTTTCCTTTCCTTTCCTTTCCTTTCCTTTCCTTTCCAAGTGTGTTTCCAACAAATCCTTTCCTTTCCTTTCCTTTCCTTTCCTTTCCTTTCCTTTCCAGGCATGATGAGGCACTATGCTTTCCTTTCCTTTCCTTTCCTTTCCTTTCCTTTCCTTTCCGGTTGCCTGTAGAGTCCTACCTTTCCTTTCCTTTCCTTTCCTTTCCTTTCCTTTCCTTTCCTGGAGTGTGCTCCGTGTGATCTTTCCTTTCCTTTCCTTTCCTTTCCTTTCCTTTCCTTTCCACTGGAAACTCCAGATGCAATGAGAAGCTCCCCTGGGGAGGGTTTCAGGGTTGATCCTGCTCTTGTCCTGCCAGCTTGGGCAGGAACTTCCAAGTATGAGACAGAGGGTCCCATAGCCCCCAGAGGGTCTGCTCTAAAGTCCTCCCTGACTCCTCTACCCCTCATCCCAAGGCACTTGGTGGGAGGGACCCCTACCTTCTTTTCTTTCCTTTCCTTTCCTTTCCTTTCCTTTCCTTTCCTTTCCCCCACTGCAGCCAGACCTGCCTTTCCTTTCCTTTCCTTTCCTTTCCTTTCCTTTCCTTTCCACCCGCTGGCCCTGGAGTGCCTTTCCTTTCCTTTCCTTTCCTTTCCTTTCCTTTCCTTTCCGCTGAGATGATGATTCCTCCCTTTCCTTTCCTTTCCTTTCCTTTCCTTTCCTTTCCTTTCCATACAAGCTTCCTGCTCAGACTTTCCTTTCCTTTCCTTTCCTTTCCTTTCCTTTCCTTTCCTTCTGTGTCAGCACACCTGCCTTTCCTTTCCTTTCCTTTCCTTTCCTTTCCTTTCCTTTCCGCACCTTGGAGCCCAGGGACCTTTCCTTTCCTTTCCTTTCCTTTCCTTTCCTTTCCTTTCCATTGGTGCTGGGTGACATGGCTTTCCTTTCCTTTCCTTTCCTTTCCTTTCCTTTCCTTTCCGTGTGCTGTCCTGCTTTGCACTTTCCTTTCCTTTCCTTTCCTTTCCTTTCCTTTCCTTTCCAGGGGGACACAATTCTGCGTCTTTCCTTTCCTTTCCTTTCCTTTCCTTTCCTTTCCTTTCCCAGGGAGCTGCTGTTCAGAGCTTTCCTTTCCTTTCCTTTCCTTTCCTTTCCTTTCCTTTCCGTGAACCTGTTGGGTCACGGCTTTCCTTTCCTTTCCTTTCCTTTCCTTTCCTTTCCTTTCCGAATCAAGTTCAGGATCAAACTTTCCTTTCCTTTCCTTTCCTTTCCTTTCCTTTCCTTTCCGAGGAGTCAGGCTGACCCCGCTTTCCTTTCCTTTCCTTTCCTTTCCTTTCCTTTCCTTTCCCTGAGTGTCCCTTTGCCCTCCTTTCCTTTCCTTTCCTTTCCTTTCCTTTCCTTTCCTTTCCTCTTTCTCTCCATCTCTGTGCTTTCCTTTCCTTTCCTTTCCTTTCCTTTCCTTTCCTTTCCTGCCCTTGCTGACTGCCAGCCTTTCCTTTCCTTTCCTTTCCTTTCCTTTCCTTTCCTTTCCAGGAAGCAGGAGGTCCTTGGCTTTCCTTTCCTTTCCTTTCCTTTCCTTTCCTTTCCTTTCCAGCGGCATCACATTCTAGTGCTTTCCTTTCCTTTCCTTTCCTTTCCTTTCCTTTCCTTTCCTCGGTGAGTCCTGTGCCCCCCTTTCCTTTCCTTTCCTTTCCTTTCCTTTCCTTTCCTTTCCAGGATTACAGGGAAAACCAACTTTCCTTTCCTTTCCTTTCCTTTCCTTTCCTTTCCTTTCCAGTAATAGATGCTTCTTTATCTTTCCTTTCCTTTCCTTTCCTTTCCTTTCCTTTCCTTTCCTTAATTTTGAAGCAGTGGTGCTTTCCTTTCCTTTCCTTTCCTTTCCTTTCCTTTCCTTTCCGATAGGAAAATGCCTGTGCTTGTTGCTGACAGATTCGTACGTTGCTGATACTGCTGTGGTTAGTTGCTGACATTAATAATTCTTTCCTTTCCTTTCCTTTCCTTTCCTTTCCTTTCCTTTCCGATACCATTTTTTCCCATCCCTTTCCTTTCCTTTCCTTTCCTTTCCTTTCCTTTCCTTTCCGGCCTTGGGTGCGAGTTCTGCTTTCCTTTCCTTTCCTTTCCTTTCCTTTCCTTTCCTTTCCTGGGGGGACAGGAATGGGTTCTTTCCTTTCCTTTCCTTTCCTTTCCTTTCCTTTCCTTTCCCTCCCGGTCACTGGCTGCTTCTTTCCTTTCCTTTCCTTTCCTTTCCTTTCCTTTCCTTTCCGGCTGGAGCTTGTGCTCCGGCTTTCCTTTCCTTTCCTTTCCTTTCCTTTCCTTTCCTTTCCTTCCTCGACCATTGCCTTATCTTTCCTTTCCTTTCCTTTCCTTTCCTTTCCTTTCCTTTCCATTCGGGATGCCAGTGATAGCTTTCCTTTCCTTTCCTTTCCTTTCCTTTCCTTTCCTTTCCTTTGCCGAGCTTGCAGGAAGCTTTCCTTTCCTTTCCTTTCCTTTCCTTTCCTTTCCTTTCCTTGGTTTACACCAGGAGAAACTTTCCTTTCCTTTCCTTTCCTTTCCTTTCCTTTCCTTTCCCCCTGCCGTAAGGAGTGGCTCTTTCCTTTCCTTTCCTTTCCTTTCCTTTCCTTTCCTTTCCCTGAGCCCCACCGGGACCCACTTTCCTTTCCTTTCCTTTCCTTTCCTTTCCTTTCCTTTCCCCAGAGAGGATTCTTAGCAACTTTCCTTTCCTTTCCTTTCCTTTCCTTTCCTTTCCTTTCCAGGTCCCAGTCCAGGTGCCCCTTTCCTTTCCTTTCCTTTCCTTTCCTTTCCTTTCCTTTCCGCCCAGCCCTTCTGAGAGCCCTTTCCTTTCCTTTCCTTTCCTTTCCTTTCCTTTCCTTTCCTCTGGTGTGTTGAAGGAGAGCTTTCCTTTCCTTTCCTTTCCTTTCCTTTCCTTTCCTTTCCGGCAGGGCTAGGCGGTGGGTCTTTCCTTTCCTTTCCTTTCCTTTCCTTTCCTTTCCTTTCCGTCTGCATGCGTCTGGCACCCTTTCCTTTCCTTTCCTTTCCTTTCCTTTCCTTTCCTTTCCCTCTCCACCCCTGGGGAGTGCTTTCCTTTCCTTTCCTTTCCTTTCCTTTCCTTTCCTTTCCCTTTGCTGAGGGAGGGGAAACTTTCCTTTCCTTTCCTTTCCTTTCCTTTC